CAATGCCCCACATTTACAATGCCAATGCCCCACATTTACAATGCCAATGCCCCACATTTACAATGCCAATGCCCCACATTTACATCAGTTAGTTTATGGGTAATGTTTGAAAGGTTACAGGGAGTGTGAACTTTTATTACCTGCTCTCCTGTACATCTAACTAATAATAAAATAGAAGGTTTAAATAGTAGTTTCTAAAGGTTAAAGCTATAAAAATTGTTAAATGGACGTGTTTATATTCAATGTATTTGGTAGCAGTAACTGATAAAAATCACACTTTTAAAAGGAGATTTTTCAGCACAGTAGAGCGAGTGCCATATTATTTGTGCCAGAATGGTTTGCTATGCCCCTTTCATCACTATTATAATTATTACCTATGATTGTACTGCTTTTGTCAACAGTTCTCTGAAGACACAAGAAAATGTTGATGTGATGTGCACCATCCCGTCCAACAGATTAATGATAGAAACAGGTCTGTGTGGTAGTTTGTTAAACTAAAGTCTTTGTCCCTTCATAATATATATATAGTACACAGTCTCTTGGCCTCCATTGTTATGTTATCAATCAATCTGTGTACGTGGTCACATCAACATAAAACTACAAACAGTCATCATGTCTGACCTTTTCAGGCACCTGTAAAGCTGATCTGGAACAGATGGATTTCAGAAAACTAATTAATAAATCATTTTGTTGTGTCGGCATATACTCAAGTGTTTAGTATCAAGTTTGCTATCATTCACGATTCACAGCATTATCACCTTTTTTGATTCTACTTAATGTCAGCAACATATGAGAAATCTGTACACGGGGGATGTTACACTATATAAACAGAAACTTGTTTGTCTTAATGGTTACAGACAGATGGTCTCTAACAGTTTGCTTGCCTTGTTTACACAGGAAGTGGTCAGTTAGGTATGTATTTTATTTTTCAGATGCTCCCTGGTGTGATATCCGTCCTACCCATGTAGGGTCAAAGTTCATCAAAACAACATTTCCATCCAAAAAGAAAGAGAAATGGGAAAAGGGAGTGTGCATCAAAAGTCGAAACGAACCTGTTCATATCATGTAAGATGTCATTTGTATATACATCAATTAAGATAAATAAACAATTTTGATGAGTATATGGTACTATTGTATGTACCCAACACACACATACAGTATATAAAATCGTTTTCAGAGTTTATGAAAAACTTACACTATGGTGACTGATGCATCAATCTTTGTTCTCACATATATTACCAGGTAACACACAACACAATACATCTCCAGCACACACGCAGGCATACACACATGGGGAGATATTAGCCAGGTGGCATAGGACTAGAAGTTAGCGCCTGATAGGGCAGCTCCTGCAAATTCCTCAAAAAAGATTGTATTAATCAATGTATATATATTCTGATTGTGTTGATTTTATGAATTATATGTCTATGTACTGTAAAGCGCTTTAGAGTGGCGTATTCTTGCTAGATAGGGGGCTATATCAAATGTATATTATTATATAGTGTACATTGAAATTTACAACAAAGAATGTTTTCACCATCATCATTTGATGTCAAGCTAAATACTTGAAACCATAGACAATAATCAGAAAGTGATCTTGTTTTTACATTTATACCCGGGTACTCATTTCGTATACCATATTTCAATTAACATAATGTGGATGTTAAGTTGTTGGCCACATTTACACTTCAGATATTACCCCTTTACCACCACAAAATCTCCCAACATCACAGAAGTGTGTGTATTCTTACAAAACACCTGATTTCTTGTTTTTTTTTTTAATTTTTCAGACAAGTCTTGGAGGTAATGGCTGCAGCAAGAAATGAAGACATCAACGATTTAGCAAATAAGATGTATGAAAATACATGTAAAATGTTTTTTAATAGTGATAGGTAATTAATCGTTAATGTTTATCATTGTGAATTAAATCTGAGGTAATTGATTATCATGTTTTATGGCATGCAAAATGCTATATTGGAAAGTACAAGTGTACCAGTTCATTAGTACCACATGTTTGCTGAACATCGCCTGAGAAAGTGTCAGTGGTACTATTTTAATACCAAGTTTGATATATAATCCTGGTTTCTTGATGAACAGTTTTGCAATCTAAAGAAAGGAAGAATCAAGCTATTGTGAGGTCATAATTGTCGATGGTCGTTTTAAAATATTTTCTGCACTAAACAATGCATTCTGATTGGTCAATTAAGTGTAAAAATTGCAAGTGTCATTTGTCACAGTAGAAACAGGTGTAAATTGTGTTTACGTGGACCCTGGAAGTTACAATTATCTGGTACTGACCGTTATCACATTGATAACTAATACACATATACGTTTGTTGTAGAATAAATTTGGAGAAAATTTGGCATTATAAAGAGGTTTGGTGATGAATTGAGCTAAACATATAAAGGAATCCTTTAGAAAACGAGCAACAGGCTAGGGACAATGAAATGTATATGTAGGCGGTAAACGAAGTGGCAAATTTCAAAATAAACAAGTGGCATTATATTGAGGTTTTACTGAAGTTATTTGTGATACAAGTGCCTGAAGTGGCTGGATTAACAGGGTTCCACAGTATTTTTGCAATAGAAAATTAGCGTGATTTTGACTTACATCAAGGGGTAATGGTGATCATAAGGCTCAATAAACACAACATAAACCATAATATTCCTTTATTATTTGTTACCTGTATTTACAAATGGCGGATTATCCGAGAATTTACAAATACACAAACACCATATAAAACTTTTTAATTATATAATATATTGTATACAAAAATAAAGTTACGTTCAACCTACTGATTAGCAACCTATTGATTAGCAACATCATTTCAAGTTTTGACTTGTAATCAAAATGTACGCTGCATGACAACTAATCCTAAAAGATATCTGGTATTTTTTTTATTTACAACCCTGACCTGGAATGAACACGTAATTGGTTGCTATGGTTACAGGAAAATCCTCGAATCACCAGGACTCGTTATCATTAAATACAAAAAATTGACAAAACGAAAATATTTCAGACAGTATTTTCTTTTTGTTAAATTGATCTAATTTTGGATAAATAGTATTAAGTACAAATAGCCAGTTGATAATAATTTATAAGGAACTGCAGTTTGATGTTCTGTTTCTCAAACAGACCTGTCAACCAACATTTAGGGGAGAACAGCAAGTGATAAAAGCTATCTTATTAGACTTTTCTCATGAATATCAAGGGTGAAATGGACATATACAAAATGTAATGTTGCATGAAATAATAACGATGTGACAGCTAGATTGTTTGTGGGTGTACGAACTGTTGTGCAATTATAGACAAAAGGAAGGTAAGGGGAGGTCACTGTGTATAGGAAAAATAACTGCATTTGGACAGGGATCCTTAAATATATATTATTCTGCCAGGGGATAGTTCAGCACTCCTTTGCAAAATCAGTTTTAAAACCATACTAGGTTAATCTCCTTCCCCATTAGCACCACAGTGTACCTCATTATGAAACAATAACCATAGATATCCCCCCATCGGTAAAGAGATGGTACAAAAATAATTTGGACAAATTGCTGAGAGTGAAAGGAAATTAGTACCTATTAGCAAAGCTTTTATGAGGCTAATCAATATCTGTAAATGTGGGTATATTCGTAATGAGAATATATCTTTCATCCTTTTTTTCCCCTGCAAGATAATATTTCATGTATGATTTTTCAAAGCTCGCATTTAATGCAGTATTTTGTATTCGGAGGAATGTGTGAGAGTAGATCAGCTTGCTTATATCAGTGATCTACAGCATTTATTATTTAGTAAATTAATTATTTCCACCACTTAAAAGAAGCAATTCCATCACAAACAATTTGCTCATGGTTTTAAAATAATGAAACGTGCATGCATTTTATATATCACATGAATCAATTACATCGAGTGTTCTCGTATATAATTTTTTATATTTAAAAAAGCAACAGATGAATTTATATAGAGGATGAAACATCATAATTACATGTACTTATCTCGTAAGTAACACACAACATACATAGAATTAGTTTTTAGGAAATAAATATAAAGAAAGGATTCACTTGGTCCTTAAACAGCCCATGATATGTGAAAGTAAAGATCATTTAGGAATGTCCATATAATATATACAAATGGCAAAGGGGCGTGTAAACAAGTGGGCAAGTGTAGAAGTGAAAGACGATATGGCCCTAAACAATATAGTGTACAAACTTAAATCACAATGTTGTACAAAGGAATTTACATTAACTCATTCACCCCTGAAGACACATTTGAACTCTTCCAAATCAAAGGTTGGAATAGTTCATTAGGAAATTTTACGGGTGCATGAGTTAAAAGAAACTTCATAATATCTTATAGGATTTTTTCCAAACATATTAAAGATGTGTATAAAATTTTGTAAATGCAATTTGCATATACAGTATCTGTGTATAATGGGACACAAAAGTTTATCTGAAGTCACATATATCAACCTTATTCACCTGAATTCAATAAATTTCTCTCAACCTTATTCACCTGAATTCAATAAATTTCTCAAGTATAATCTTTAAATTTCAATGTTAAACTGATCTTTTTCCCAAAAATTCACTTTAAATATAAAAGATTTGAAGTGAAACCTTTAGCTTTATACATCACCTTGGAAATACCCAATGCAACAAATATTAAAATATTATGAACCAACATTTCTCAATTCACTACAGGAAATACATTTTAACTACAAATAAGACAAATATTTTGACCGGCAAACTAAACCGTGTTATCGCTACGTGACCTGTAAACAAAAATAATTCAGTGTAAATCGCTAAAAATTTCTTGTCAGAGAGAAAATCTCAGCAAACAGTTGGCAATGAGAATCTACATGATTTGTTTGCAATAAAATTATCATTGTACATGTGTAGGTGTATAATATGTACAAAATTGAAATGTTTGTAGTGAAATGATACCAGCATATACTTTCTGTCTAAAATATGCTTTGTTACCAGTAAATACAACTACTGTGCACTACTTTTGCACTACTGTGTTTCTCCAAAATAAATATCAAGTGCTGACAATCACACAAAGTGACTACCTGGGCATATACTCACATACTTTTTAAGAATTCTAGTTTAAGTTTTCGATCTGTTAAGTCTCCATGACAAAGTAACTTGAGGAATATTTAAACTGGAATGTAAAATATTCAAAACACAAAAGACTACATAACCAATTGAAAAAAACTTTGCATAAGATTCTTAATGACCAGTGACTCTGCATAATACACTGACTACAGAAATACAATAATATACTGGAAGCACTTGTTCAAACATAACTTCTTCAACAACGAAATGGCAGAAGTGAAGAATTTACATAGTGAAATGGACATCTAATAAATAACTGTAAGATGTAATGTTGGAATGTTGATTAAAATTCAAAAATAAAATCTAGAGTTTTTTATGTCAAAATTATCATGTAAATTCGTTGTACAGTACTCAAATTATAATGTTATTTTCATTGAAACATTTCATACGTTGCTAATAATCTAAACAAAAAATCTTGATGGAAAATTTCACTATTAAAAATGAATTGCAGTATACACATAATAGGATTCTTTGGAACATGATGGTATCAAGTACGTGCTGTATTTTATCGGGTTTGATCTTGTTTCAAACTTATTTAATGCTGAATGAAGGAACAGACGACATTATGGAAAAAAATAATAATTGTATTTTGCTTTTTCAGATTTGATTTTTTTAAGCTCAAAGTAAATTGAGCAATGTACACTTAATTAATAAATGAATATGTATGCAACCAGCAATAGGAACAGTGTCATATGCCTGACAATGTCAGCTCCAGAGGAAACACAGAGTGTAAGATTCTTATTATTCCTTTATGTATACACAGAATTTAGAGGAAAACAAATCTCATGCCATCATCCATCGTTTCTAGTGAGATATCAAAGTCATACCATTAAAATGATACGAGCAACGTGTGTATCACACTGATGGACTGTGGTGTTGTGATCAGTTAGTTGATTACTCAGAAGATCACATGAGTGTAAAGACTAAGGAATATCAATATGAATATGATAATTTGACTGAATCATAGTACAAAATTAAAAAGCTGTTAAAATGAAATCAAATCTGATCTATATTTATAATACATGATGATGTATAAAACTCATTAATGCGATATATATTGTTATAAAAAACTTCACATTTCTCAAATGTCACAAAAACACACTTCCACCTATGTGTGTCCACATCATAACAACACATTAAATGTACGATAATCTTTGTTCTACTTTATATATTGCAAGGTGAGGACTGTTATCCTTGATTTCGTTAATGTCAATTTACAATTTGTCTTCAATAGAAGCACAGAATAAATTCACTATGTAAACCTTTACAAAATTTCTTCTTAAATTCAATTAACATTGCAAACTATTCAATGGAACTTAAGAAAAAGAAATAATGCGTGCAGATTAAATCTCAATAATTTTAACTGAAAAAAAAAGTAAAATTAAATAGACTTTCCAGTTGTTGTACATATTTTTTAACATGAACTTATCGATATAGCGACAAAACTACAGGAGCCGTGGCACAACCACCTTTTAGAGTCAATGAGTTCTTACAAATAACAGATATGGTCAAAACGTGCCTGTTGAAGATATTACTGTATGAACAACACAAGTACTGCTGTGCAGTTAAATTTTGTACATTGTAAAATCTCTTTAGCGTCATTGGGACCAAATGTTTTATCATGAAATGTGTTCTTTATATACAGATGAATTGATCTAAAATCTGAATTTGATTCGACTTTTTTTTTATACCAAGCTATTTCTGTTTAATATGTTGGTTTAAAAAAAAAGACTATTTCTACTGCAAATTGAATTTTCTGACAAACTTCTTCCAACCATTTTTCTCTAGAAACGATTTAAGAACTTTTGGGTGTGTTCTGCTGACCCTATCAACATACCAAAGGATCTACAACCTGGTAAGATATCACAATGACTTAAGCATTTCCCCCACATACTGGGAACTCAACACAATCAGATAATGGGAAATATAAACTGTGACTTAGATTGTTTTCTTTCGTGTCACTTTCTCAGCTGTAAGGAATGCAATAACTTGGTTCACAATAATGGCGTATGTTTTTTTCTTTGTGATCAGACTTTTCAAGTGATCTACATATCTCCAGATTCCTTGTAGGGCGTTTCTGCTGATACAAAGAAGTTATCAAAGAAGTCCTGTAGATACACAAAAGTGGGTCTGGTTTCCGGGTTTCGCTTCCAGCAACTGAGCATGATTTCGTAGTAAGGATCTGGGCAGGGCACCGGTCCCCCAGTCATCTTAGGCATCCTGTAGCCCTTCTCCACTTTACTCAGCACTTCATGACCATTCATTCCTAAAATACAGAAGTACATTTATATTGATTTACATATTGAAGAAACTTGGCTGTAATAATGATATATTAATACCTAGTATAAATCTTACAACATATTATAATTATATCTGAATATTTGACTTTTTTTCTCTGGGTAATTCTTAGCTGCGGGAACCGTAGCTTCTAGGCCCATTTTTGTTTTATTGTTAACGGACATCGGGCCTAGAAGCTACGGTTTCCGCAGCTAGGTAATTCTTTGCAATTTCTTGTGATTTTTTTTCATAAAATTAGTAAAAGGGATTTCAACCACTGGATTAAGAGACTCGAATAACTGACTGTTTCCTAACAAAGCAATTTTAAAACAATACCTCTTATTGCTCACTCATATTAATGTGATCTCTAGCAAACAAAATCTATTTCTATTAAAAAAATAAACAGCCAACATTTTATGAGTGCTGGACTGTGACCCCCTATTTTTGTACTTACCTTGTGGTCTCTATTAAATTTGCTCCCTGTAACCCCCTATGTTTCACTTAATATTTTGGACAATATATGACCATCCAATGCCACAGACAGATTTTTTCAACCTAGAACTTTGTATTTGTTTTGGAAAAATATGAATATTGACCAAGTTTACTCAAAATATGGTCATATTCGATTAACTTATTTTGCAGAAACTGTTGACCAATCAGAGTACAGCATGCAAATTTCACAGATTTAGCTCATCTTCAAACTTAGTCATATGCTTGTATATTGTCATGTTTATCAAATTCTTCAAAATCGAATGATACTTTAGCAAGTTATCCTGTAGATACTGAAGTGTGAAAAACAGATTAATCCATTCACAGAATGCTTATTGATTACGCAGGGACTACTCTTATCTCCTAACTTTATATACCAAGTCTTGTACTGGTATATTGAACATGCTTTAATTACCGTGTTTCATTAAAATCTTATGATATTTAAAGCAATATCTTGTGGAAACCGAAATGTGGACAGATGCTTCCCATAACAGAACATGCCGCCAAAAACTTTGACTGGTGTATGAAAACCTTTTCAAGCTTTTAAGCATGGTTTTGCTACTGAATAGCAATGGATTTCATTACCTGGATAAGGCACTCGTCCAAATGTGAGGATTTCGTAAAGAAGGACTCCAAAAGACCACACATCAGACTTGATGCTGAACTTTCTGTCAAAAGCAGCTTCTGGAGCGGTCCACTTGATGGGGAACTTTGTATCTGCATAGAAGAAAAACATGGTTCTTAAGTATATTTAAGCAATCAATAATATAAAATGTTGACAAAGTAGAAAATGCCACTGTACTGCAATCTATTTAATGATAATTTGCTAAAGGCAAGAGTGAAAACTCAAACCTGTTAATGGGTTTTTTCTTCACTATTTTATGTAAATTGTCATCCTGAAGATATAATTACATATCTATATAATTTTCAGAATGAACAACTGAGATTTATTGTCCTTTGTCTGTCCACGCCTTGACAACCAAGACTCAATTGTACAAAAATGTCAGTACACTGCATGATATTGTATAAACAGACTGAACATTTTTCTAAAACACCATCTGCCTAAAGTATTTCAAATTTACTTGTCCAAAAAAAGCCTTGGTACAAACCATATGTTTGACTCCATATGAAAATATGACTATAATACAAATTGAACACCTTGTTTAATACAGGTATCTATCTCCACATGTCAAGCCTTCTGAAGGTAATTGAGGTAAGAAAGCACCTGTAAGAAACTGACAAATAAAGGTCCTGATTGATTACGATACAAATGACACAGAACTATTTATCTACAAATCAGATTTGTTTATGGCCAAATTGTTCTATCACAGATTGGATTATCATTTGTGTCCAATCAAAACACAAGTTGCACACAAATCCAGCTCAAATTTTACTTGAAAGATTGCCTGAAGACTCACACTTCAGGCCAGTTTATCCTGAAATATTTCCATAATGCAAGGTGCGTCACTGTTAACAATAGAGCTTGGGAGAATAAAACGATCGACATGAAATAAGGAACACAAATGTTAAAGGTACAAGTCATCAGTTATTTACGTTCTTGAGCTTCATAGATATCTTCCTGTATGAGCCTGGCAAGTCCAAAGTCGGCCACTTTCACTTCGTTACTCTCGCCCACTAGAATATTGGCAGCTCGTAGATCTCTGTGAACAAAGTTTTCCCTCTCGAGGTACGCCATACCATCAGCAATCTGGGGAAAAAAAGGCATCAGTACATGACAAATATGACAAACAATATGACTGGGGCTCATCAAGGTACTGGTAAGTACATCACATATAATATCTACATGCCCCAGGATTCCTATATTTATGACTCAGAAGGCTTGTTCCGATAGCATGTGCTCCTTTATTTCTTGATCATGCTGCTTTATAACAAATTAGGTTTGTAGACTAATTTTTGTTATTACTTAAAATAATCTCAAGCCAATTTTATTTCTAGTATTTAATCGATAAATTCTTAAAATTATGTTTTACCATTCTATTAAAGGCTTTATTGGAAAAAAACATGATGGCAAAAAAATATGGGAGAACTTATGTGTAAGGCCCTTGTACAGCGTTACTGTATACCAGGAAATTTTCACCGCATCAAATTTTCACCTATCAACACTAAAATCCTTTTTCACCCAATATTGAATTCGCCTTTCACATCAATTACAATGTATATCATATTGTTTACAAATGCAATGCTATAATGCTAGCTTCGCCCTCATATAGAAGGCAAAAAAGGTGACAATTATTATAAAACTGCAAGGAACATTTTCGGGTATACAATATCCACTGCAGTAGGTAATTTATTAATCATCATATCATGTCTTCTGCCTTACTTGTGCAGAAATGTCCACTAGGATTGGAAATCCTATATGTTTGCCCTCATCCTTCCTGAGATAGTCGAGCAGCGCTCCATTGACCATAAGCTCTGTGATGATCCACAGGGGCTCTGTTGCGGAGCAAACAGCCAGCAGCTGGACCAGCTTACGGTGTCGCAATTTGTGCATAAGTTTGGCCTCCTGAAGAAAATCGGCAGGTGTCATGGCACCTGGCTTTAGTGTCTTTACAGCAACATCCACTGTGTTCCTCCATCTTCCTAATAGCATTCAATTAAACATGTCATCAGTATTAAATTTGATATTGATCCTAAACCATACTATATTAAAATTCTAATAGCTTCTAAGTAAGATGTATATTAAGCTATAAAATCAAGACATTATTTTTTTTTGAAAACTTATCAATATTCCTTTTGTCCTCTTTTTATTTTAAAGACTTATTTGTCAAACAGGTATATTTATAAGATTTGATTTAAAGACATTTGCAATTCAAATTACCAAAGAATAACACCGCCCGATATGTCCATTGGCAACCATAATGGAGAAACATAGAGCTGTGGCAATTACATGAAAACCTGGTTCTTGAGTGGAGATGAAATTGGTAGTGTGACACCTTTGATCCATTGAGAATGATAAGTGTGACATTGACATAATCAAGCAGTTACTTACAGAGAAATAATTTTCAAGAAAAATGAGGTAGATTTTCTAGAACAGTCACTCCAACAAGTCACTTAAGGTGGCTCCACACTTTCGTAATTAACCAGCGAAATTCGTTGAAACTTTCATATAATGGTTATGCTACAATGTAGAGTTGATTTTATGAAAATCTTAACACTCCGATAGTTAGGGGACTTTTTTGGAAAAAATACCAAAAAATTGAATTTTCGTCAATTTTAATATTTTCCGGGTTTTTTTGGGGTGTGACATTTTTCGGAACAATAACAACAATAATAAAATGAAAAGAAGCATTTCTTATTAACCCTACAAATATTTTATTTAACGCAAAATATGTAACACATGTTACACAAAGTGTTTTTTATTGAATTTGAACGGATAAAAGTGATTATCTACAAGCTAAAAGCCAACAGGACACAAAGATCTATACATATAGCATGGGAAATTGAACAAAATATACACAATGGCTTTATAATTAATTTATTTTACATTTTACAATCACTTCGATCCGGGTAAGAGTTATCTTCCTTGAAAAAAATCGGAACTTTTTGCAGAGGGGTGACATTTACACAATGACAGTTGTCCCTGTTTACATATAACAAAAATGATGGAAATAAATCAAAAATATGATATCAAAATTATCAGTTTATTGTTCTCTAATGGAACCAAATTACCCTCAGTCATGTACACTTTGGACATCATTCCACAGTCCGCTAACTCACGGTATGTTTATAATTACATGTCAGGTACATATGTGACCAGAGGTTATCTCATGGTATGCCGTTCTCACGTGCACTCACACATGCATTTTATAGGAATCTTGATATTTTACAAAACATTATTTTCACAGAGTAAGTAGACTACATTTGTAAACACGATTTAATCGACAGAGCGAAACTTCCTCAACAGCGAAAATCGTAACGACCTCGAGCTGATGAACTCGTGTTGCACATGTGAGGTCGGTACGTCCGCATTCCATGCGTTTCCTATATGACCTTCATGAGGTTGTTTGGTCTCATGTCACTATCTTCCCGTGAGTCTGTTTATGTCTATGAATTTGAAAGCTTTATTCCTGAAATACGTGTGATTATACATTTCCCGGTAAAATCTCGATATCGGGTGTTGACATATCATCGGCACGCACGTGTACTATTGTTTACCAGGGGCCTGGTCGTGTATGCGGAGCAACCGGTTTGACCGTTTATAAATGTAACAATTTCGGGTATAAATCCTGGCGGCCCTGCAAATGTATATGCAGGCCTTGCAAGGCTTTCTCACGGCTCGCGTGAAAGCAGCATCAGATTACTAGGTCCGGCCTTATTTAATAAACGAACAACAGTGGTCCGATCGGTTTGACCGTTTAAACGAAAACGGCCAAGGGGTAACTATAATTTGCACAACGACATTGAATGCCCGATACGCAATACGGAAATGACGACACGGGGGGCATGCACATTTGGATCAAGATAATTGAGTCCGAGCTGTACTTTTTCCGGAAGTACGTCACGAAAATGGACGCTGATGACGATGTGTGGAGCCACCTTAAAGTGTGCTTAGCTTTGTGCATCGAAACCTTTGGCCTTGACATATGACCTTAACCTTCGGTAATACACATCCCCAGTCTTACACATACAAATGACATGTTAATTTATAACACAGTCCCAAAGACTACCAAGATTAGGCAGTGTGACTTTTGACCTTTATTATATTTAATAGGCCACCCAAAGGTGATAAATGTATGAAGTTACAACAATATATCCCTGCACTGGGATACAACTGTTTTGGAAGCTATAGAAATAGAAATGAACTAACGTATCCAAAAATAAAATATGCTGTGATAAACAGATGGAGGCCATATCCCAATATGCTCATTATAATAAATGATAATTCTTACAATCTCATATTTTTTTCTACTTACAAATTCAGGTTTTGCCATTTTAACAATTGACTTCTTATTCTGATCCTGTTATAGTTACACATGTATGAGATGTCATAAATTGTACCTGCGTGGACATCACCGAAGCAGCCACTTCCAAGCTTTTTGATGAGTTTGACTGACTCTCTAGAGACCTCCAGCTCACGGAATTGCACCATGGGGCGGATCTTTGGACATGCTTCACCAAGCTGACAACACAGTCCGTCGCCCACAGCTGTAGAAAATTAATGACATAAGAAGTCTGGCATGCCTCTCTCATAAACAGAGTAAATATTGTGTACAAAATGTATTAAGAAAACATTCTATAAAAGCTTGAAAACGATCTGACCCGACAGAAAAACCATGGGCTTTTTTACCTCTACAAACAGATAAGGTTATATGCTTATGTCTAACAAGGAATGCTTGGTCTTTTTTTTATTTCTCCTTTAAAGTAATGATATAATAGATCCAGGGTCCCGAAAAGCTCACATATGTATATGAAAATTACACCATATCACCTATTGTGAAACCTCTTCTTTTCAAACTTCAATTTTCTATCTTATACTTACATTGGTAGTGAGCAATGAGTTGCAGCATGCTCTTAAAAGTTCGCCGTGGACTAATGTAGAATCCGCCATTGTCCATCTTACGGATCCTGTAGTGTTTCACACAGGCATCAGCTGTCTTGGGGTCATGGTCACGGATTGACAACACATATGATGCCTTGTCTAAAATACAAATAATGAAAATATGTCACTTGGTAATAACGGGCAGAGGGGAACCATTTTGTCTTTGGTCTTATTACAGAATTTGAAAAATGAATTTAAGGACTGAAGACAGGGGGACAATTTTTGTGACTTTCGATCATTTTACTCCTGGGACCAAATATACCAAATTAATGTAAGCAATTATTTTACACCCCACAACTCATATATTATGAATTTCCAATGCCTCTCCAACACCCCCACCCCTCAATATATTCCTATTTGGAATAGTCTTTGATATTTTCTTCTTATCAAAAATTCTTATTAAAATCATATCTTTTATTATATCATTGCAAAATGATTTCCAGCTGGATACGAATGATACATGATAACAGTACTCAGACATATTTATATAATCTTTCACACACTTTACACTAGGGGAATATTTTGTCAAATAATTTTTTCTTTAAGTATCAGGGTAAAGAGAGCTTACATGCACCTTTATTCTGAAGATACCTTCACCGTGTCATCGCTTAATATAGCCAAATTATATCAAAAAGGATCGCATCATTTGTCACACATTTCATGTGCTGTTCATGATGGTGCTATGAAATGGATTTACCATGATACAACTTGGAGGGAACTTTATGACAGGAAAGAGTAGAGGAAATATAATCTATCACCCATGTGTGATGCTATCAGGTAAATCTCCACACTTTGTTCTGAAGCTTTTCAGCATTTCACTTAGCAGTCTTATATTAAACCTCAAAAATAGAGTCTATCAATCTCTATTCCGTCTTTGCCTTTTGCAGAGTTATCTTCTCTTGTGAGCAGGTATCGATTGTAATATCATTGGTTTGTGTGAGAAAATTACGTCGTTTTCTCAAAAATTTATGACGTTACTCTCACAAACAAATGATGTAACAATCAATACCTGCTCACAAGAGCAGATAACTCTGCAATGTGAAAAGACGGAATAAAGAGCAAGACGGGATATATCATTTATATAGATAGTAATTCTTACAATGCAATTCTAAAAGAAACTACCAGGGTTTTTATCTTTCATCCCAGATTCATGAACCTTATTTGGTGGCAATATCATATTGGAAATGACTGTTACCTGCCGACTCGCGGACGAGGAAAGTTCCTGTGGCATTGCCTGGCAACATGAGTTGCTTCTCGCCCTCCTTTCTGTCCACGTTATACCACCAACTGTAAATCAAGAAAGACAACCATTATAAAATGAATGTACAGGTAGTCAACCATGGTGCCTTACAATGACTTAGCAGCTTATTAATTGTTACAAATTTGAGCGGTTATATTTCTGCCTGATCTAGTTTGATCATCCTAATCATACTTTTTCTAACCATTTGACAACATAGTTTTCCATTAAACTATACTTCAGAATAACATCTATCATTATGACACTTATGGCACTCATTCTAGTATTTTATAGATACCAATGAGGTATACAGATCGGATTTCGTTATATTATTTTTGCATGGAAAATATATACTTACTTAGTTGTCTTAAAGACTTTATACAGTCCTGTAGTGCTTGTTTAGACATGTTTAATTTACGATCATGTTGTCATCTCACAGAGAAAATGACACTTTGTAAGTAATCCTGAACTACAACCTCACTTAAGTTATTTGGTGAAACATTATTTGGGTATTCAGTCCCAAAAGACTATAAGCCCATTATACAATTGATCATCGATCGGTTTACTACTTCTGATTACAAACTGATTATCGATTATGATTTTAAACCGATTGCCAATCACTACACAATCTATTTACAGTGACATACTTACTCCTGTGCTTGTGGCGTGTTGTCATCTTTACACACATAGTTACTGGGTATGTAACCTGTCAGACCTGAAGTCAGGTGACGGGCCATCCACCAGTCACAGTTTTGACTGTCAAACAAAAAACACAAATCAATTATCAAAGCACAGTTTAACTGTAAAAATATTAAAAAATAAACCAAAAACAACTGCAACCTATAAGGTCGTAACAATTATTCATGATTTATCAAAGCACAGTTTTAAGTTCCATCTTTGTTGACTTGGGCTCTGTTCTATCACTTGAAATATCAAACAATAACATGCTGTTTGAGACTAAAATTCATAATGATAAGAACTTGCCAAAAAAAGTTCTATAAGATATCTGAACATCATATATCAAGTTTTCAGTGATGAATCTCCTGTAAAACTTCTGATATGCTATTAAAACAGACATTGGATAATATGTGTAGAAGAATGCATGTTGACCACTAAGCAGTTTACCTGGATTCCTCCACCTCCAACCGATCACCTTTCTTAAAGGAGAGGTCATCATCGTTGATGGCATCAAAGTCGTACAGAGCTCGCACAGTGTTAGACTCTACAATAGAGGCAAATATAGGTTTTTAATTTCTGTATTTTCATCTTTACAAAATTACGGCAATACTTTTATGCCAGGTTAATTTGCCAAAATCTTGTCAAATCCTATTGATGAAAATGATATACATGTATTTACATTCACTTTTATAATAAATATGTACCAGAAAATGTGAAGAAATGTTCATGCTCTGGGAAATGTTTAAGCATAACGGATAATCTGAAATGTCACTGTCCATCAGATTTTACAAAAGATAAGATAATTTTTTTTTTTAACATGAACCTAATTGTCATCCTTTTGACTTATTAAACACTGCGGACAGGTTAATCAGGGAAGATTGATACCCAGGTAAATCTTACAGATTTCTGATGTTAAATCTGGAAGAATTTAATGGTGTCATATCATTTTCACAATAATCAAAATTAAATTTCATATAGATGAGTACTGGCAAAACAACTACCGGTTTACCTCATTTTCATATTAACTATCATAAGTATTATATATGAATTATTTTCACCTTGATCACCTACCTCGGTGATGATGGTTTAGAAAGTTGATGTTTATCTTCAACAGCTTAAAAATGTATATTGTTTTGAAAGGAATCAAGAATTATTTTGAGAAAAAAGTTGACATAGCCCCATTTAAAAAAAAATTAAAGCCAAGTTCGTTTAATATTTTTATTTTTTTATATCATTAAATTGTGATACTGTATTAAAATAATTTAAACAAGTTTAAATGATGATCAGATTTTAAATAAGAAATCACTTTCATTCTTCAATAAGATATTTTGTTATTGTAATTCTTTTTTAATTAATGAATATACAAGTATTCCTTTGTAACAATTACGATCCATTTCATCATTTTTCTCAAAATCTGAATCCTCTTTATCCGGTCTGAAAAAGTTTGCTACATTAATATGGCTGCACACAGATCGAGCAATAGACAGTGACTGTTCAATTCAACTGTTTTGTACACATATGAAAGAAGAAATGATCACAATTGATAATATTGTTTTTGCTATCAAATTGTTAAATGCACATCAGAAAGTAGTCTTATTAAAGACACATCTTTTTGTTAAAGATAATAAAGATGGGCCGCTGTTAAGCCTCTGAGGGTGTTCCCTCCATGTGTTAAAATTAAGGTTTTACTCAAACAGGCTACAGTGTACCGGTACCTGGGTACTGATGTCCTGTTGGTACAGTTGACTACCAAATGCCTATTTGTTATTAACAGATGTTAACATGAAAATAGTACTCATAATTTAATTTTAATATGTATTACTAACATTTTTACCACTGAAGACCATAATGGACTCAACCATATAAATGTATGGTAGAATTGGTAGAGTATACTCAAGTTACATAGGGGTAAAAGGGTTAACTAAAAAAATATCCTTTTTTTTCTTCTCAAAATCAAAGGATTTTCAAAGAAACTGGAGCTGGAAATTTTCTAAATCTTAATCTACAAGAATCTGTGAAACTTACCTTGGGTGACTTACTTAACAAATAACATTTGTTCATGTTAACATTCAAGATAAAAATATCATATCATGTTTTTTTGCCTGAACAGATATTGTTTTGTGAACATCATCAATATCTTTTTATTCATATTAATACATGATACATGTTAGATGCAATTAAAAAGTTATCGGTGAGACTGGGTTTGGGAAAGGGATGTGTGAAGCCATGACAAGCTGAAGCACTGGAATTATTGCGAAAGAAACACAGATCAATTTATCTTAAAATGTGAAATGGTTGCAGATATGCAGTGTCAAATTTGTTGATAGATGATGAGGCATTGTAAAAGTGGACATAGGAATACATAAGCAAGTGTAAGACTAGATTGAATAAAATGATAACAAATTTCCAATTAAGGATAGCACTGTCACCATAAACATTGAACATTCTAAAAATCAAGTGCAGTATTTGAAATAAAAGCATAATTGCTTCGAATGTAAAATATATTTTTATTTATGTTTTTACATAACTTCGTGATATCAGTCGATTAAAGTTATATGCTAGCTTATCAGACTTTCATCTCCTTTCTAAAATAAAAAAAGTTCCTTAAAATACGGCTCTGCTTATGAACAGGGACATGTCACCTGCTATAAAACAGAAAAAAACAGGGGTAAAAAAATATCTTCTGTTGTAAGGCAGGTGACAAGTCCCTGTGGCACTAAAACACATTCATGAGTGACTTTCATGAATGGTAATAACTCAAAATATTGATAATACCTCTTAAAAGTAAACAAAAATACATGCATCAATGGTCAAAGTAATTATATTTTATTTCAAGGGAGATAAATCTATATCATTCACAGGTGTTAATCAACTAAATAAATACTATCTTTCAACAGGAAATGAGTCAACTGATCCTGCATCAGCAACATTTTAAAGAATATTTGAATCAAATCACAGGAATTCTATAAGGACAGAAATTTAAATTTACAGAATGTATAAATAAATTATAAAAAGAGGTAAAACATGTCTATGATATACGTTCATGTACACTGAACATGTTAAACTTAACATTGATTAACCACAACTCATGTATACATGTATTCATCAACACAATTTGCAATACATGAGGGGCTTAGCTTATACCGGGTAAATGCAGCTATATATAACGTAATGGTAAAGTTAGATAGATATAATATGAAAATGTTATACATACTCTTATACTATTATCTATATAGAAATGAAAAAATGTATGACAGAACAGTTTATTTACATAATGTTAAATGTTGAAAACAAAGTGAAATACTGATAAGGTGTTAAATTAGATGAAAAAATGAACACATCACTACAGCAACAAGATGAATACAAACATATGTACAGTTAATTGTCAGTGAAACTGTAGGAGTGTAATAAACAGGTGTACAGCACATATACAAGTATGAAGAGACATTATAATTATGATAAAGCACATGTACAGCATAGACACATATAAAACACAGCACACACAGACAATGAGTTACAACAATACTTTTTGCTGTCTATTACAGGTAAAAGCGTACACATAACAGTACGGTATGCAATGTAAAACTGGTTTACAAAAATGTAAATTTTCACAATATGAAACCAAATAGTAAATGGAGTCCTTAAATACTAAGAAATAATGAAGTTAAGTATCAACTAAATGCTTATGTCGTGAAATAACTGCTGTTGCAAACGATTTAGGTAACAAACTCAAGTGGTGCAGTAGCTAGGATGGCTTGTGCAAAATGACTGCCAAGAATGATGCAGGAACGAATATTAACACTAACCCAGGACAAAATCAGATCGGGTGAGGTCCCAAGGCCCCAAAATTCAGGGACAAATCACCCATCAAACTGACTTTAATTTCAGCAATAGGTATTTGTCACCACACCAAACAGAGGCTTCCAATGACTTTTAGATACTTATAAATTGCACAGAAGAATCATGCCTAGTACTAGTGCTAACAATAAGTTGGTTAGTGGACAATTCATGAAACATTAGTCCAATAAGATGGGTAGCATGGCATACCTTGTGAAACAGTCAGTGATGAGGACAAATAATGAAACTGCAAAGTATATATTCACTCACCTCTTGATTGTTGGAAATAGCCTTTGAGAAATGGACATTAGTAAATTATTAGTCTGATTGTTTGCTAAAGAAAATGTTTATTCAAGCATTTGAGCTTATAACAGATATCAACACTTTCCACCCCATTTCCCCATTATAAAACCAACAAACATACACCTGCAAGTGATTCTGTTTTAACAAATATAATTCCCAATCCACCTAATCTTATGCTATCATGTTCAATGTGTACATTTAAATTTCTTATAGACATGGTTATGATAGCCCAGCATCCCTGTGTCCCAGGCAATGGACAAAATGTTCTGTAGTTCAGGGCCCCATTCTGCCATCAAGTAGTTTAATGCCTGTCAGAGTCTAAAGTGTCACAGCTGTCTGGCTTCTCTTTGTGGCTTCAATATATTTTATCTAGTCTGGACCCCTCTTTGTGGCCTCAATAGATTTATCTAGTCTGGGCCCCTCTTAGAGACATCAATAGATTCCATCTAGTATGTGCCCCTCTTTGTGGCCTCAATATATTTTATCTAGTTTGGGCCCCTCTTTGTGGTCTCAATAGATTTAATCAGGTCTGGGCCCCTCTTTGTGGTCTCAATAGATTTAATCAGGTCTGGGCCCTTCTTTGTGGCCTCAATGTATTTAATCTAGTCTGGGCCCCTCTTTGTGGCCTCAATAGATTTAATCTTGTATGGGCCCCCTCTTTGTGGTCTCAATAGATTTAATCTAGTCTGGGCCCTTCTTTGTGGTTTCAATAGATTTAATCTAGTCTGGGCCCCTCTTTGTGGTCTCAATAGATTTAATCTAGTCTGGGCCCTTCTTTGTGGTCTCAATAGATTTACTCTAGTCTGGGCCCCTCTTTGTGGCCTCAATAGATTTAATCTAGTCTGGGCCCTTGTTTGTGGGTTCAATAGATTTAATCTTGTCTGGGCCCCTTTTTGTGGCCTCAATAACTTTAATCTTGTCTGGGCCCCCTCTTTGTGGCCTCAATAGATTTAATCTTTTCTGGGCCCCCTCTTTGTGGTCTCAATAGATTTAATCTTGTCTGGGCCCCTTTTTGTGGCCTCAATAACTTTAATCTTGTCTGGGCCCCCTCTTTGTGGTCTCAATAGATTTAATCTAGTCTGGGCCCTTGTTTGTGGGTTCAATAGATTTAATCTTGTCTGGGCCCCTTTTTGTGGCCTCAATAACTTTAATCTTGTCTGGGCCCCCTCTTTGTGGGTTCAATAGATTTAATCTAGTCTGGGCCCCTCTTTGTGGTCTCAATAGATTTAATCTTGTCTGGGCCCCTTTTTGTGGCCTCAATAACTTTAATCTTGTCTGGGCCCCCTCTTTGTGGTTTCAATAGATTTAATCTTGTCTGGGCCCCCTCTTTGTGGCCTCAATAGATTTAATCTAGTCTGGGCCCTTCTTTGTGGGTTCAATAGATTTAATCTTGTCTGGGCCCCTCTTTCTGGCCTCAATAGATTTAATCTTGTCTGGGCCTCTCTTTGTGGCCTCAATAGATTTAATCTTGTCTGGGCCTCTCTTTGTGGCCTCAATAGATTTAATCTTGGCTGTGCCCCCTCTTTGTGGTTTCAATAGATTTAATCTAGTCTGGGCCCTTCTTTGTGGTTTCAATAGATTTAATCTTGTCTGAGCCCCTCTTTGTGGTCTCAATAGATTTAAGCTAGTCTGGGCCCTTCTTTGTGGTCTCAATAGATTTAATCTTGTCTGGGCCCCTCTTTCTGGCCTCAATAGATTTAATCTTGTCTGGGCCCTTCTTTGTGGGTTCAATAGATTTAATCTAGTCTGGGCCCCTCTTTGTGGTCTCAATAGATTTAATCTAGTCTGGGCCCCTCTTTGTGGCCTCAATAGATTTAATCTTGTCTGGGCCCCCTCTTTGTGGTTTCAATAGATTTAATCTAGTCTGGGCCCTTCTTTGTGGGTTCAATAGATTTAATCTTGTCTGGGCCCCCTCTTTGTTGCATCAATAGATTCAACCTAGTATGAGCCCCTCGCAGTTGTTCCATCTCCATGACTCATCTTGTCCTATATGGGTACAACAGCTTTAATCTGGGTACTTTTCTATTCCAAATAACATAGGGCTGATGCTTCTCTATGTCCCCAACACATTTTACTTCTGTGTTCCCCAACAGCATTACATCTAAAAACACCTTTCTACCTCAGTAGATTTATAGCCTGGAGTTCTTCTTTGAGGCTCCTGCTGGCAATAAGATTTTAGAGTTCAAAGCTTCTCTCTGTGGCCCCAATGAGATATTAACCGTCTTCTCTCTGTGAGATGTTAGCTGATCAACTCTGAAATGTAAGCTGTCTCATCTCTGACATTATTAAATTAGCTGTTTCCTCTCTGTGTTATGACAGCTGTGTCTCCACTCTGCAATATGTGAGTTGTATCTCCTCCCCATGAGCTGTCTCGGACAAGATGTGAATTATGTCTCCTCCCTGTAAGATGTGAATTGTGTCTCCTCCCTGTGAAATGTGAGCTGAATCTCCTCCCTGTGAGATGAGAGCTGAATCTCTTCTCTGTGAGATGTGCATTGTGTCTTCTCCTAGTGAGATGTGAATTGTGTCTTCTCCCTGTGAGACATGAATTGTGTCACCTCCCTGTGAGATGTGAGCTGTCTCCTCCCTGTGAGGTGTGAATTGTGTCTCCTCCCTGTGGCATGTGAGTTATATCTCTTCTTCCTTGTGAGATGTCAGCTGTGTCTCCTATCTGTGAGCTGTGTCTCCTCCCTGTGAGATGTGAGTTGTGTCTCCTCCCTGTGAGATGTGAGTTATGTCTTCTCCCTGTGGGACATGAATTGTGTCACCTCCCTGTGAAGTGTGAGCTGTGTCTCTTCCTTGTTAAGTGTGAGTTTTGTCTTCTCCCTGTGAGATGTGAGTTGTCTCTTTCCTGTGAGATGTGAACTGTGTTTCCTCTTGTCAAATGTAAGGTCATCTGTGTTAGTTCATATCTCTTGTCTGAGTGAGATGTCATGTGTGTCTTCTTTTGTGATACAAGTTGTGTCTGTGTGACATGTAGCCGTCTTATTCCTACAAGATGTTAGCTGGGTCTTCTCTGTGACAGCCCTACTACTTACAGAAATCACTTTGCTAAATGTATACTGTAATGTTTTGATGATATTTGTAAATATAATTACCTACTATGCATGTAGTAATGAGAGAAGTCAACTGTTCCTGAAAAGGTATAATTTACAGAAACCTTTATTTTTAGGAAGATACATGTATAAGCAAAAAGAAAGACTGTTTAACCAACAGGATGAACAAATGTCAAAACATAATAAAAAAAAAACAAGCTTTATATATTCATTTAACACCAGCTTTTGCAAAATTGTTTAAGTGTGGTGGTATTCAGTGATTATGCTAAAAACAATTTAATAGTCCTGACCCCAGATTCCTGTGTGTTCTTTTACTTAGAAAAATTCTACATTGTCACTTCTCATGAACAGTTCAAGTATCCCATTACTATGTATTTATTATATGTATTTTATGGCCTTTAAGTTTTGTCATGAAAATAATGTTTCATATTTTTTCATGATACTTTAATGGTAAAAGAAGGCTTGTAATAATATACATGTATTACATTTTTTAAGATATGCTACAGTATAGTACCCGAGTCAGGACTCATGTTCGGGCAAAACTACCTGATATACACATGCATATGCTTTCCTAGAATTGTTGGGAATCACAGTGGATGATTTAATTTAACTGAAACATGATCATGACCTACCAGGTATGTTGTACAGGTGGTAACCCCCACCCCCAGTATTATATACCATCTATAGACACAGAGCTGCTAACAGTATCAAACCCCAGTATTATATATCATCTATAGACACAGAGCTGCTAACAGTATCAAGCCCCAGTATTATATACCATCTATAGAAACAGAGCTGCTAACAGTATATACCATCTATAGACACAGAGCTGCTAACAGTATATACCATCTATAGACAGAGCTGCTAACAGTATATA